TCAGAGAGAGAGAACATGGCGGTTTCTTATTATGATGATTGAATTGAACAGTGTCTAGCCTTATATATAGCCAGCTCCCCGCTGGGGTAGATACATCTGCGTCAAGAAAAATATGTAGATAACAAACCCAATCTTTTTTGCAACTCCTTTTTACTAGTTCAATGAAGCTAAAAGAGAAGATCACGGGGTCAGCTTAATTACTTACTATGTGTAGTGTAATCTTCCATTAATGAATAAAGACTATTCTCATGAAAGATTTGACAAAGTCAACTGGGTCGTGGCTATTGATTTCCATGCTAGTGTTGCTGTCTTTTGTGCAGACGACTGCATCCATGACTTGCAGAATTTTCAGAACGGTGTTCTGCACACCCTAGCATAATAAAGCTACAGCTAGATGATAAATAGTACTCCTTCAGTCCGGAATTACTTGTCGCAGAAATGGATAGAAGTGGGTGTATCTAGAACTAAAATACATCTAGATACATCTATTTCTTTGACAAGTATTTCCGGACGGAGGGAGTACTAGCCCCACATGCATTCTTCAAGCAACAGAAAAAAAATAAGGGGGAGGAAAAAACAGCAACCAATGTGTTCCTTCACCATTCCTCTGGCCGTGCCGCAGCTGTTCCTGCTACTCTCCTTGGCCTCTCCCGCCACCTCATGCACCGAGCAGGAGAAGCATGCACTTCTCCAGTTCCTCGCTGGGACGTCGGGAGATGGCACCCTCGCCGCGTCGTGGCGCCATGAGACTGACTGCTGCGAGTGGGAAGGAATCATTTGCAATGGAGATGGGGCCGTCACTGAGATCTCCCTGGCATCTAAAGGACTTGAAGGGTGCATCTCACCATCTCTCGCCGACCTCACAGGCTTGCTGCATGTCAACCTTTCGCACAACTCCTTCTCCAGTGGCCTTCCGCTGGAGCTCATGTCCTCCAGCAGCAGCATCGCCCTTGACGTTAACTTCAACCGGCTAAATAGAACGCTGCAAGAGCTGCCGTCTTCGATCACCACAGACCGGCCTCTGCAGGTACTCAACGTCTCAAGCAACCAGTTCAGCTTAGAACTTCCATCAGCCACATGGAAGATGATGAAGAACCTAATCGCGTTCAACGCCAGCAAAAACAGCTTCACTGGGCACATACCGTCTTCTCTTTGCCTTGGCTCGCCATCTTTGGCTTTGCTTGACCTCTGTCACAACCAATTAAGTGGCGACATTCCGAACACACTGGGTAATTGCTCCAAGCTCAAAGTGCTCAAGGCTGGCAACAACCACCTAAGTGGGATTCTCCCTGTTGAAATCTTCCACGCTACCTCGCTGGAGTACCTCTCCTTCCCCAACAATGGTTTGCAAGGAGAACTTGATGGAGCACAAATGGTCAAACTCAGTAATCTAGCTACTCTTGACCTTGGAGAGAACCACATCAGTGGCAACATCCCAGAATCGATAGGTCAGCTCAGGAGGCTGGAGAAGCTCCATTTGGGTAACAACAACATGCCTGAGGAGCTGCCATCAACTATGGGCAACTGCACAAATCTCAAAACCATCGATCTGAAGATCAACAACTTCAGTGGAGATCTAGGCAAGGTAAACTTCTCAACCCTGCAGAATCTAAGAAGTTTAGATCTCATGAGGAATCGTCTCGGTGGCATAGTGCCAGAAAGCATTTACTCATGCAGCATGTTGACTGCACTGCGGCTGTCGGGCAACCATTTCCATGGTGAGATATCACCAAGAATAGGCAATCTGAAGCATCTGTCCTTCCTATCACTTGGTAGTAACTCCTTTACAAATATCATGAAAGCTTTGCATGCCCTTAAGAGCTGCAGGAACATCAGCAAAAATAAGTAAACTGTTTTGGTTGGGTGGAAGCTTATAAGCACATTTAGCCATAACTAAAGCCTAACCAAACACCCATGCAGCTTTGCAGCCAAGTTCACATGCATGTGAACCATGGTAAAACCACCTTGTTTTGGTCAAGAAAGGTAATTAAATGGTGTTATGTGTTCTAACTAGTTTTAAGATATGTTTGGATTGCGACCAAAGTACATTTTTTTTAGATGATCAAAATGTTGGTCTTTCTTGGATAGGAACCAACTCTTTGGTATGCCAATGCGGCAATACTCCTTTACCAATCTATTGCGTTTTGTAGTCAATGTTGGCCAATCCGTTGGCAAGCAAAACCTCAACCGAAATTTTGGCTAGCCAATTTTTTGGTAGGGTAAATATGGGCACAAACCAAACAGACCCTTACACCGACACTAGTTTTAGAAGAGGATGAACTGTTTACACAGTTTGCACATGAAAAGGAACCCAAACAGCAGAATGGTGATCCAAGCAAGCAGGAAAAATACTTCAGCTGCTTTGGAAGAGAGTCCATATCCATGGGAAAGATTCCCCCCACCCCCACCCTCACGGTATGTGGAATACAACAGAGAAAGTGCCATTTGTCCAGAAGAATGTGTGTTGGCAGGCGCATGTATAATCGATCATAACTATGAAGAGGAGTAGCTTTGGCAACAAAACGTGTCTAAGTTCACAAATAACAATGGAGAAATATGACAACAATATTGCTGCAGACTGCATCTGAGGCCAAATTAGCCGCCTGAAAATAATTAGCTAGCAAGAGAGGTTGGCAGTGCATGAAGCAAATTTAAAAAAAAAAGGAATTGTCATTAGGATATCCTGAAAAGGACTTAATCAAGAACAATTGTTTACCAGGTGAACTCGAGCTGCTGAGTAGTGAAAGCAGGAATGTCTATATCATGTGCAGACATCTACATGCTGTTTTTTTTTGTCCAAAAAGGAAAATGACAAGAGGAAAAACAGACATATGGAGTTGAAGCTCAACGCTTCTTTGCCACAAAAGAACAGATGAACAATCCATGGGCTCTCTTTGTGCATCTGAAATATATCCATTAATGGATGATGCATATGTGCCTTTGATACTGCTTTTGTTCCAGGACCTCTCCCAAGGAAATGAGTAAATAAGATTTCTGGGGAACTAACAGGAAGCATGAGGAAAAGCACAACCATAAAGCAGTTTTCAAACTGAAATGATGGGTATTAATTCATACAGCTGGCGGAAAATGACCTCCCATAACAATTATTGAGCAGAATATCTCCCATGGACATGAATCACGTTTCCAAATTTAGGTTGGTACCACCTGGGACAAATCTAGGTTCGTACCCCCTGGGCCAAAAACTAGGTTCATACCCCCTGGGCCCTCATTAGCTCATGCCGTAAACATGCGGTAGTAAGTCTGTAGAGGAGACCACCACCCACTGGGCCCTGGACAAATCTATGCACTCTTGAGCAGCGATGCAATGAATAGGTCAGGCAAGAAGATGACTAAACTAGTAATTAACCTTAGTCTCTTCAGGCATTTAAACTTAAACATGAAACTTGGGGCAGTGAGATAATAGATTGATTTCTTGCTACTTGAAAATTTTGGACTAATTGGTAGCTATTAATCCATCCATAACTAGGTGATAGCTTTATAAACTAGTTTACAGGGTTTTACTATAGCTATAATGGGTAGGTATGGATGTTGCTTTCCTATGCTAGTGCCACTGTCTTTTGGTGCACCGACCGGTCATGGCCCCAGGCACTGAGGTGCACCCATGACAAGAAATAGAGAATCTTATGAATGGTGTTCAGTAGCTCTGACATGCAACTAAATCCACTGCTATATGATAACTATCCAGCACTGCATGCACTATTCAAGCAATAGCAAAACAAGAAGGGGGAAGAACACTAACCAATGTGTTCATTCCCTGTTCCTCCGGTCGTGCTGCAGCTGTTCCTGCTGCTCTTCTTGGCCTCTCCGGCCACCGCATGCACCGAGCAGGAGAAGCGCAACCTCCTACGGTTCCTTGACGGGCTGTCGTGTGATGGTGGCCTCGCCACATCATGGCGTAACAATGGCACGGACTGCTGCAAGTGGGAAGGCATCTCCTGCAATGGAGATGGGGCCGTCACCGGGGTCTCCCTGGAGTCTAAAGGACTTGAAGGGCCCATCTCGCCATTCCTCACCAACCTCACCAGCCTGCTGCGCGTCAACCTCTCGCACAACTCGTTCTCCGATGGTCTTCCGGCGGAGCTCATGTTCTCCGGAAGCATCATCGTCCTCGATCTCAGCTTCAACCGGCTCAACGGACCGCTGCCCGAGCTTCCGCCTTTTCTTACCACCGACCGGCCTCTGCAAGTACTCAACATCTCAAGCAACCAGTTCAGCTCACAATTTCCATCAGCCACATGGAAGGTGATAAACAGTCTGATTGCGCTCAACGCCAGCAATAACAGCTTCACTGGGAACATGCCATCTTCTCTCTGCCTTGGGTCACCATATTTAGCATTGCTTGACCTCTGTTACAACCAATTGAGTGGTGACATACCAAACACGTTGGGTAATTGTTCCAAGCTCAAAGTGCTCAAGGCTGGCAACAACAACCTAAGTGGGATTCTCCCTGTTGAAACCTTCCACGCTACCTTGCTGGAGTACCTCTCCTTCCCCAACAATGGTTTACAAGGAGAACTTGATGGAGCACATATTGTCAAAGTCAGCAATCTAGCTACTCTTGACCTTGGAGGGAATCACTTCAGTGGCAAGATTCCGGAGTCGATATATCTGCTCAAGAGGCTGGAGGAGCTGCATTTAGGTAGCAATAACATGTCTGGGGAGCTGCCATCAACTCTGGGCAACTGTACAAATCTCAAAACCATCGATCTGAAGATCAACAACTTCAGTGGAGATCTAGGCAAGGTAAACTTCTCCACCCTGCAGAATCTAAGAAGTTTAGATCTCATGAGGAATAATTTCAGTGGCATAATTCCAGAAAGCATTTACTCATGCAGCAATTTGGCTGCACTGAGACTGTCGGCCAACCATTTCCATGGTGAGATCTCACCGAGAATAGGCAATCTGAAGCACCTGTCCTTCCTATCACTTGTTAGAAACTCCTTCACAAACATCAAAAAAGCTTTGCACGCCCTTAAGAGCTGCAGGAACATCAGCACTCTGCTTATTGGCACAAACTTCATGAATGAGGCCATGCCACAAGATGAAACCATTGACGGTTTTCAGAATCTTCAGTTTCTGTCCATGCAGCAGTGTTCGTTTACTGGAAGGATACCTACTTGGTTATCAAAGCTCACAAGTCTGAAGATACTAGTGTTATCTAATAATCAACTCACTGGACCAATGCCAAGCTGGAACAACTCCATAAACCACCTCTTCCATCTGGACGTATCAAACAACAGTCTTTCTGGGGAAATCCCAATCGCCTTGATGGAGATGGCAATGCTAAAATCAGACAAGCCTGCCATCTATTTGGACCCAGACCTCCCTGATCTACCAATATATATGAATCCATCACTTCAGTACCGCATGGGCAGTTCTTGGCCTAAAGTGCTGAATCTCAGTAAAAATAAATTCACAGGCGTGATCCCACAAGAGATTGGTCATCTGAAAGCACTCCTTTACCTAAACTTGAGTTTCAACAAATTTTATGGAGAGATCCCACAATCAATCTGCAACATCAGGAACCTCCAGGTGCTAGATTTGTCAATAACCATCTCACCGGTGCAATCCCTGTGGCATTGGAGAATCTTCACTTCCTTTCGCAGTTCAACGTTTCTAACAACGACCTAGAAGGATCTATTCCAGCAAAAGGCCAGCTGAGCACCTTTCAGACGTCCAGCTTTGACGGGAACCCAAAGCTGTGCGGCTCTGTGCTTATTAACCATTGCAGTTCAGTTGAAGCGGCTCCCGTCTCCATCATCCCTGCAAAATAATGCAGCGATAAGGTCATCTTCGTGATTGCATTTGGTGTGTTCTTTGGGGTTGGAGTGCTATATGATCAGTTAGTATTATTCAGATACTTTGGATAAGCCCACATCAACTGTAATATGATCTTGTATTATGTATGCAATGGATAAGGTAGTTTGCATATTGCTAGCTTGCTGAATAATATTATTCAGATGTTTGTGTTTCTAACTAGCAGACTTGTTAAGAGCTGTACGAAGATGGCTGCCGGTATAAGCCACAGGTCTACTTGGCTGACAAAGTTTGCAGGATCAGTAGCTCTAACTTTTGGCTTAACAAATAGTCAAATACTAGTAATTGCGGTTAACTCCACCTCGATTCCTAAGCGAGAACACTAATAAAATAGAGAACTGGGCGAGTTACCTCCGAGTCGCGGATCGACGGATCGTATGAGCTACACCGGCCGCCAGCCGCCGGTTCGCCAGCTTCCGCGGCTTGCTGTTTGATTTCGGCCGCCCAACTCGCCGGGTGACTGGGAGGGGCTGCGAAGATGTTCCCCGGCAGGCTGCGAAGATCCGCTAGCAAGTGGGGAGGGGAGGGGCTGGGAGTATGTTCGATGGCTTCAGCGGGGCGCGCACCGGAATCCAGGGAGAAGGTGGCACCAGCGGCGGCGCAGCAGTGCAATGGGGGAATATTTGCCAGTCGCGAAGGTTGGGCTTAGAGTTTTTTTTTTTTTTGAGCGAGGGCTTGGATTTTCTGGATTGCCCAAATCTGTCCGGAACCAGCCCGGCTTATAACTGGGCTCAGACGTCGCTTATAACTGGGCTTCGAAACCAGCCCAGTTGAGCTTCATTTTCAAGTTAAAAATTAGAGCAAATTCTCATTTTCACCCCATCTTTTAGCATTTCTTACAGTAATTGTCTCATTTAGGAGTAAGAGATCTTCAACTGTTACTGATTTAGGGCCCCTTTAGGTTACAGGAACTTTTAGGAATTCTAAAGGATAGTAATTTCGTAGGAAAATGTTCTTTGAGGCCTTTGGTTTGTAGCAATATAATCTTATTCCTTATTCCTATAGAAGATA